GGAAGTGGCTCTAGATTCTCAGTGCTGTGCTTTAACCCGCCGCGCCACCAGGGAGGGCCGAACGCAACCTTTTAATCATGTGCCTCTGGCAACTTTCAAAGCAGGCCAAAGTTTCAAGTTTAATTCTAACCTGAACAAATCCCACCAATTTAAGAGATAAATAAAAACACATAAATATATCCAAAAAAACAGTATGACTAAGGTAATAGCCAAGGAGAACAAGGAGCCTCATTTACTGAAATGTTGGCCCAAATCATAATTGATATACACTGGATTTCATTTCTCTTAGGCGTAGACTTTTCGATCCAATATCCCTGACATAAATCTTGGCGATTTTGCCAAGCAGCAGCCCAGTGAACTCTGTAAGTGATTTGGCGCCCTCTGGTGGCACTTCACGGCACAAGCCACTATTTTTGTGAACCTTGGGAGATGAAAATTCAGAGGAAAGAACAGCGTAAAAATCACGATAAAATTAATTATCCAGTTACCAGCCCTATCCTTATATATTTTCTAATAAGGATTGCTAAAAGGGCTCATATTTTTACCATGATTTGATGTCAGAAACTAGACCCACCATTGGTAACCTACCACTGTTTAAATTTCTATTGTATTCTCTTCTTAAGGGCCAATAAGACGCTCACCCTCCTTAGCTACTTTAGTTTTTCATGATACCTGGGAGATAGCAAAGGGGATAGCTATTCTACCTTAAAGATAAAGAAAACTGAGGTCTAGCTCTGTGGAGTTACTTGGCATGACAAGTAAAGGGACATAAAATGTACCTTTGGCACAATTTATCTCTTGGTGGTTTATAATGGGAGACGAAAGTCACAGCACTGTACCTCTAACACCTGCTCCCAGGCCTCCTGTGCCAGAAGGAAGCCCTGATCCCCAAGATAGAGAAAGAGAGTCAGGGAGCAAAAAGGAGGGGGTTGTTTATTATAAATATTTCTTATATTTATTTCTGTTCATAAAGGCAATTGAGGCCAATAAATTTTTTTGAAAATAGTTTCACAGAAGAATATGAAAATCACCTGGCTCTTGCTACTCACAGATAGTTATTAACACTAATGGATTCTTCTTCCACACTTTTTCTTCGTGTATTTTTGCAAAATTAGGATTAGATTGAACATCTCATTTTTATTCAATTTCCCCTAAACACTAAACTGTAAGCATTTTGTCATTAAATATCATGGGAAACGTTTTTCAAAAAATATCACTGAATAAATTCCCATTAGCTGGCATACTGCTGACATTAGGTTATTCTAAACTTTGACATCATTTTTAATAAGACCTAAAACTGCGTGTAAATGAT